ATTCGTGACAGGATTCCACCGGTCTAATGTCCATTGCTCGTGTTTCTTGGCCCAAGCAAGTATCTTCTTCTTATTGGTGTCCTTTAGTAGTGGTTTCTTTGCAGCAATTCGACCATGAAGGCATGATTCACAGTCTCCTCTGAACAGTTGATGTTGAGATGTGTCTGTTACTTGAACTCTGTGAAGCATTTATTTGGGCTGCAATTTCTGAGGCTGGTAACTCTAATGAACTTATCCTCTGCAGCAGAGGTAACTCTGGGTCTTCCATTCCTGTGGTGGTCATCATGAGAGCCAGTTTCATCATAGCGCTTGATGGTTTTGGCGACTGCACTTAAAGAAACGTTCAAAGTTCTTGACATTTTCCGTATTGACTGACCTTCATGTCTTAAAGTAATGATGGACTTGTCACAACACAACTGATTGGCTCAAATGCATTAAGAAGGAAAAAATTCCACAAATTAACTTTTAAGAAGGCACACCTGTTAATTGAAATGAATTCTAGGTGACTACCTCATGAAGCTGGTTGAGAGAATGCCAAGAGTATGCAAAGCTGTCATCAAAGCAAATGGTGGCTATTTGAAGAATCTCAAATATAAAATATATTTTGATTTGTTTAACACTTTTTTGGTTACTACATGATTCCATATGTGTTATTTCATAGTTTTGATGTCTTCACTATTATTCTACAATGTAGAACATTTAAAAAATAAAGAAAACCCTGTAGCTCAGTTGGTAGAGCATGGCGCTTGCAACGCCAGGGTTGTGGGTTTGTTTCCTACGGGGGGCCAGTATGAAAATGTATGCACTCACTAACTGTAAGTCGCTCTGGATAAGAGCGTCTGCTAAATGACTAAAATATAAATGTAAAAAACCCTTGAATGAGTAGGTGTTCTAAAACTTTTGACCGGTAGTGTATATCATCATCCGGCGGCAGGTTGCCTAGCGTTTAAGAGCATTGGGCCATTAATCGAAAGGTCGCTGAGCCGACTAGGTGATAAATCTGTCGATGTGCCCTTTAGCAAGGCACTTAACACAAACTGCTCCTGTAAGTCGCTCTGGATAAGAGTGTCTGCTAAATGACTAAGATGTAAATGAAAAATGTATTATGACAACCAACTTGTGATCATGAAACACACTGTGATCCATCTGTGTAGTTGTGTGGAATATTGTCTGTGTAATTTATATATGGGCTCAATTCTTACATGCAAGGTCATGAACTGCTGTTCCTGGTACACACACTATTTTATGGGCCTGGATATAAAACCATTTGTAATTTTAAACATCTTCACTGCAGTGTTTAAACAGAGTATCAAGTGTAGTGGAGTTTATGTAGTTGGAGCTGAAAATAGTGGAGAGTTGCTGTGGTGTAGGCCTAGCTCAATGTTAGGCTTTCAAGTGAGGGCCTATGAGGTCATTGTTTATAACTATCAATTCTCTATTACATTTTAGTCATTTAGCAGACGCTCTTATCCAGAGCGACTTACAGTTAGTGAATGCATACGTATTTTTTTCAAACAAACCCACATCCCTGCCGGCCAAACCCTCCCCTATCTTGGACGACGCTGGACCAATTGTGCGCCGCCCATGGGTCTCCTGGTTGCGGCCGGCTGCGACAGAGCCTGGACTCGAACCAGGATCTCTAGTGGCACAGCTAGCACTGCGATGCAGTGCCTTAGACCACTGCGCCACTCGGCAACTGCTATTAATATCCCCACTTCCCTGTGATTTACAACAACAGTCTGATGTGACTCTGTCATATAAATGGGAAACCCGTTTGGCACATAGGGGAACGGAGATTAGATATTGATTGTCCTGCTGCCGGCAATTGTTCCCTTGAATTCTCTATTGCTTTTCCAATTAAAACTTTCCATTAATTTCATTTTTAGCACTATTCAGAGATACTGGGTGGAGTTTAGTAACTAGGTTTTGGTTTAAATCAACCTACAAATGCACAGATCTATGTAATGTTGCAGAGATGATGTAGTATAATGTTGCATACTTTAGTTTGTTTCCTACCAATTTACCTTTGTTGATGAATTTATCTAGGACTGAGAGTAATTTTTTGGGACAGTCCCTACCAAAAAAATGTCCTCTACTTTGCCTTTTACATGGGAAAACCCCCCATTGTTGGAACATTTATGGTCGTAGTATCCGAAGGCAGACTTCCTCCTTTTGGAACCAGACCCAATAGCTATCTTTAAACTTGTTTAACCATGAAAACCATGTTCTCTGCCCTCCTTCAGGAAGAATTCAGTCATACATGATTATATGTGGAAAAGGGAGGAATGGAGGAAATGGTATATGAAAGAGATGAGGGTACATTGTGTTCCTATCCTGAACATAAACAAAGGGTCCAGCAACAGAACTTTATAGTAAAGAATGTGACTTAAAAAAAAGCAACCCTTATAGTTCTCCAAAACTTGATTACTGGGAATAAACCAGCTATAAATAGGTCCCACCCATCACCTGTATGTTGATTCACAGGCAATTTTAACGTGGTACTGTAAAGGTAGGGCACCACAAACATCAATAAAACACAGGGTTTATTGAACACTGACAAAGACCACATCATATCAAGATGTCTTGCCATTAACTGAGTGCCTTCTCAAACATTCACTGTGCAACTCATTTTTGTTGCTTTCAACTGAACACCTTTCACCTTCCTATGTAACCTGGCTGGGCAGCTAAGAACTTCTGTGTCTACAAAAAAGTCCCTCATGTTTTTCCTGCATTCTTTTTTTCTACATCCTTCCGTCTCCACTGCACCTGTTTTTAGACAAAGTAGATTAAAACTACAGTATAATATCCTGACAGTTCTCTTGATAGAAACATCCCAAAATAACTCATTTTAGAAACACACACTTGCTTTCTTATCTTCCCGGTTTAAACCAATAATGTAGACAATAGAGAGTAGAATGGGACAGAATTGCATGTCATTATTGTCCTAAACCACGAAGCTGACCACCGTAATATTTAGTAGGCCTACCAGTGTTTCGTCATTTGTGTGGTTGGGCTGTGATGGAAAGCAGCCTCCCAGTGTTTCGTCATTTGTGTGGTTGGGCTGTGATGGAAAGCAGCCTCCCAGTGCTTCGTCATTTGTGTGGTTGGGCTGTGATGGAAAGCAGCCTCCCAGTGCTTCGTCATTTGTGTGGTTGGGCTGTGATGGAAAGCAGTCTCCCAATTTTCCAGTTTGCCCAGTCCCCATATTACAACAGTGCCTTTGTGTTTTCTGTCCTAATTTCATCCCCTTGTGCTGTAATACTATTTCCAATATATATATAACTGTATTATTTATTTATTTAGATAGCTGTTAAATTAGCTTTCCATACCACCTACCCCCTTCCTGCATAAGGGGTAGTTTGTGTTGTCCTGAATTGTGTTGCCATTTATCCCAAACAAGGCTATGAGAGAGTGAAAATATGCAGGATGTGGGTTAACTGCTGCTATCAGTAAGCTATAGCTGCATTACATAAGTGGATTGCTTTGTGACCCTGAGCATCACTAGACCCATAAGTCAGCGGTGAGAGATCCTTTTCACATTTTATGTCCCTATAACAGTGACCTTAAATTCCTGACTTGAGTTCATTCTTGCTATGATGATCCACTATGAAACTGTCCCTATGTGAGACAGATAATTATCCACAAAAGTCAAATAATTAGGTTGTCCCATGTGCATTTACAGTTTACATCCACAGCAGCAGGCCATACAAATGGAATTCAACTGGCAGTAGGCTATACACATTCTGATCATATATTTATTATTTAAAACATAAAACAATAGAAACTACTGACAAACTTGAAACTATGACAAAAATATTGCACTATGGGGATCTTTTTGAAACTCCACCATATACAGTATGTGAAATAATTGCATTCATGCTTTACACAGTGCTGCAGAGTGGTATCCCTGTCATGTTAATGCAATGTCACACACACACACAGCAGGATGTACAGCCTTTTAAAAACACTTGGAGAGCAGCTTAACAAAAAAATAAATGGGAATGTTCCTTACAAGCCAGAATGTTGAATAAAATTGTTTGAATTTATTCTACCAGTTGCCTGTTTGGTTGGTCCTTCAGCTGCTTGGAATTTGAGACAAAATATCCACAGGAGAGTATTGTTTACAATACTTTTTAAAGTGCTATTACTGAAGTTGAAATTTCTATCACCTGGCACATGTGCAAAACCATGTAAACACCTGTTACTATGCATAAGTTACGTGCACGTGCCTTTGGTCATGAGCAAACATCTTGATTGCTACACACAGACATGCGTTTTGAAGTTGGTTTAATAATACGTTCCTGTGGATATTTTGTCTCAAATGTCGACCAGCTGAAGGACCAACACCACGCACAATCGGCAGATTAAGTTGAAATAGAATTGTATTCAACATTCGTGACAGACAAGGGAAGTTTAGGTTTTTGTCTATGTAAATGTGCATGGCGTTGCCTACACAATTGAAGGCATCGCCACATTTCGTGACTAACTGGTTGCATGTCAACAAGCCTTGGCACCCGACACTCAAGTAGGCTACTTGGAACAAGATCCTCAAAGGCTACAGCATCATTTTAGGCAGCATCCTGAATGCTTGACAAACGTATTTATTCAGTAAATTAGAGTCGCAGGGAGTGTCAGTTGTAGGCTACTTGTATTAGATTATGTATTCGCGTCAATGAAGGGATCAGGTGAATAGATCCAGATGATCCACAATCTGAGGATTATTTATTTTTCATGGCTACCGGCTCGCAAGAAAGTATTTAGCCTAATGGGAGACGCACAGACTTGGTCATGCATCTTTTCAAGCACAATGACAACAGGTCTTGGCAGCCGTACATTAACGTAAGAGACATTATTGCTCACGTTAGCTGTTCATTCACAACAACAGACAGCAGTTCCCACAACCGCTGGAGGGTTTTGATCTCTTCTGTAATGAAGCACGTGTCGCAGTGTCGAACACCTCCCGAATACCATCCTTCGTTTTAGCAGAACACTCCAAATAGTCATACGCGCCAATGCGCACCGGCCATGGCCCGCCCGTCCTCGGTTTTCACTGGTTCCTGTTTCATTCTGGACAGCTCGCTCCTAACATTCTCGTCGTTGCGCAAGTCTCTCTTGTTAGCAACTAAAATAATAGGCACGTTGGGACAAAAGTGCTTTACCTCTGGCACCCATTTCTCTGGGATGTTTTCGAGGGAGTCTGGGCTGTCCACGGAAAAGCACATCAGAATGACATCAGTGTCCGGATAGGACAGCGGGCGAAGGCGGTCGTAGTCCTCCTGTCCAGCCGTGTCCCACAGTGCTAGTTGAACTTGCTTGGTGTCCACTTCAATATCGGCCACATAGTTGTCAAATACAGTAGGCACATAGACCTCAGGAAACTCGTCTTTACTGAACACAATCAGCAAGCAGGTCTTTCCACACGCGCCGTCACCTACTACGACCAGCTTTTTTCGTATCTCTGCCATTTGCTGCTCTTAACCGATACTTTCCCTTGATCCTAACTGTTTAACAAATATGACGTCTGTGTTGGCTAAGAAGTCCGATTCTGGCTGTACGAGTCTGGTTAAACTTCCCTGAATGTAGCCTTGTGCGTTTCTCCGCTGGATTCGATATTTCTCAGCTATTTGCTCCCTGTCCAGCAACTGACTTCCTTTATAAAGAGCATGGGCGCTTTCTTAATATAGCAATCCAATCGGAAGTAGGGCGGTGAGATCATTATTTCAAAAGAAGGAGGTGATTGGATCCCAGACCTGCTTTGTCAGTAGGGGATGGTCGTACCACGAGGATCATGTCTCGCCCAGACACCGACCTGGGATCAGCTCTATGAAATCAGAGCTCAAATAATTTGGCAATATGATTTGGGGATATTTCCTACATCATAAAAAATGTTTGAATAAATGTTTCATAATTCATAATTACATAACTTCATTTATGAATAACCATTTGACATGGGCATATGCCACTAGTTTATCCATTTGGCAAACACATAGGGCCTATCCTAAACTATAGCCTACAACAGGCTACAGTACAGTGGGCCCCCTCATAGAAGCATAGGAACATGCGTCTTCGTCGGTTTTAGTTACACCAATAGAATTATAACAATCATAGTCATGTTGATTAACCATCATCATATTGATCAGCATTTACTCAAACTTTAGACGCACTGGAATGACTCCCTAGAGTAGACTTTTATTGATACAGATAAATCATGTATAGGCTACCACATGTCAATAATTGAGAAATTATGAGTGGGTATTTTTTCATATTGTATTATAATTGCAAATAGTATATTTGCTTGTTTGACATTTTAGTGCGCGGTTGTAATTAACGTACAATATGCATAACAGGCTGCAGGGAGGGCACTAGCGTGATATAGTCCAACTCCTATATATTGCACGTTCAATCCCAAATCATTAAAAGACCGATCTCCACGGAAACAAAACAATATACATTTATACCCCTGACATTTTGAACAAACATCGCTCTTCAACCGAAAAGACAGCGCGTGAGTATCTTCTAAATGTCTATAATGCGATGTAGTACGTATTCTCACTATTTTAAACGTGGATTCTTGCTGTGGTCGTTGAGTATTTCCCCCTTTTGTTTAGCGGGTAAGGCCCCTCTGGAACTTGGAGGGGGGCCATGTTGTTAGTGAGTGTGTAGTTACCCAGCAGCAATGGTGTTTTGTTAATGCAGCTCACCAGACGGCATTTGTATGGTTCGCTCGGTTAACAACGTTTGCTTACAACTGTTCAACGGCGTGTGAACAACGGAGAGCTATGCTTTTATTGTATGCACTTATTTAACTACAATAGCTAGCTAGTCATTTATTTTTATTTTTTATTATCAAACTGAAAAGGTAAGAGGCCTTCCTTAATCTGCCTAGCTAGCTATGGTAGCATCAACAAATGTAGCTTTCTGGCTAGCTAGCTAGTTAATTTAACAAACAAATTCAACATTGACGCTGGATTTGCAAGTGAACTGTTAACGTTAGCTAGCTAGTTACCTGGCTAACTTGGCTTCTGTCAGTATAGCTAACTAACGTCAGGTAGCTAACCGCTAATGTTAGCTAGCTAACGTAGTTCACGAACGGTTGTTTTTCCAGTGAACTAGCCCGTTGTCCTGAACAGAGAAATCGCTAACTATCTTTATGCTAAATTGCCAGCAAACGTTAGTTGGCAAATGTTATACATTTCGCATGATAAAAAAAACTTGTTTGAATGACGTTAGCTAACTAGCTAGCCAAACTAATCCGACGAACTACAGTAACTAGCTAGCCACATGCTGCCTGTAATATTTATTTGACGAAACACACACCCGACACCGAAGAGTTTAGCACTCCTTGGGCAGACATTCATTGTTCGATTGGCGACGCTAACAAGTTAGTTAGCAAGCTAGCTAGGCTAGATGGCTAGCTAGTTAACGTTATCCATCTACCTAAAATTGTTTTGATTGTTATTATCAAGATATTTGTTTCCACTGTCTATAGCTAATTAGTTACATTTTGCCATGTTAGCGATTGATGTTAGCTAAGTTATTTGGCTAAGAAGGCCAAATCGCATATTACACGGACTTTCGGACACTGAATATTTATTAGCTAATGTTAGCTAGCTAGCAACGAGTTCAAGTTTATTAATGTGTAACAATGTAATAGCTAGCTACATAAATTAACTAGCAAGCTAGGTAGCCAAGTCAAAGAAAGGGCAGGTAACGTCCCAAGAGAAGATTATGTTGTTAACTAGCGTGTTTATATTGACACTAGTTGTTAGTGCTTTATGCTGAAATTCTACAGACCTTTCAGTGTGTCAACTTACAAATGTTATTGTAACTTATGAAACAAAGCAAATAAACTCTGCCTTTGTTAGGGACCAAAAAAGACAATAGATATATATTATATGTTTGGTTCATTCAATAAGCTTTTATTGGGGATCCCTAATAAATACAAATACATTTTATATCAGAAACCTCAGGCTAATGTCTATACATGTTTGATAAGTGCTATCTGTATCCAATGTAAAGCAACTCTACTTTGACATGTTCTGTTATCTCCCCCTCCAAAGGTTTCCCCGTGGAATGAGCGTTCCATGCAGCATCCTAGGTATGAATGACGTGGCCTGGCAGGAGACAAGAGGCGGGATGCTGCACACAAACGGTGCCCCTGAAGCCGGGGGCGTCAGAGTTCACGGAGGGGGATCCCTGGCCGCCATGGGGGGAGCAGGTCAGGGCCCTGGAGGGCCACACCGTCTGCAGGGCCCCAACCCCATCCCAGGCACCCCACAGCCTCCACTAAGTGGGCGCTCTCAGGATGATGCCACAGTGGGCTACTTCTTCCAGAGGCAGCCTGGGGAGCAGCTTGGAGGTTACACCCCCAGCAAGCACCGTTGGCCCACTGGAGATGGCAACCACATTGACCAGGTACAATGATTTTGCCAGAGCCAAACTGCTTGGCTACAAGCTTCCTGTTTGAGAATGGTAAAATATTTGAAAGAAGCAGATCTTATACTTTCTAGAAACCACTTTACCACAACAGAGACCCTTGCTGTTTCAGCGTAGAGCATGACATAAATTGCACCAGCCAAAGATTTCCCACTCTTTAGAAAGCTACACTTACTTCTGTTTCATAGAAATCACATTCAACAAATATTAAATGTAGAAAGCATTAGCCTGTCAAATATCCTAGTGGGTCATTCTAATGGATAGTTTAAACACCCAGCCTGTTTACACACACACTTCCCAAGTCAATTGTTGTCGGGGGGGGGGGGGTCTCTGCCAGTGATCTCTATCTAAGGATAGAATTCAGATTTTTAACTCTCATCCTCTGCTTCAACAACCCCTACAGTGTATACAGTAGTATGTGATTTGTATTACTTTTTAGTAAACATGGTAATTTATTTAGACTCATAATGTCCTTGTTGTTGTTGAGGACAACCTCGCAAGTGTGGCAGGAGTTGGCATCCATTTGCCTTCTTCCAATTTCACTATGATGTCCAGAACTAGCTTACATGACTGAGCATACCATTTTTGCCGGGTCGAATTGTGTATATGCTGGAACTGACTGAAGCCACACAAAAATACATATTTTTTCTCAGGTTCGAACTGTGGATGAGATGAACTATGGTTTTCAAGCCCTTGCTTTGGAGTCCAGGGGCATGGGTGAGGTAGGTTGAGATCCACCACAACATCTAAAGTTTCTCTCTTTAAACCTAGGATAGATTCTGTCCTACATCTTCCATTGAAGTCTCCCACAGTGACCCAGAATGTCGATAATGTTCAAGTAGCCATTTTGCCTTCTCTTTACAGCTCCTGCCAGCAAAGAAACTGTGGGATTCGGATGACTTGTCCAAGGATGGAAGGAAAGGGATGCTTCTTGGAGAGGAGTGGAGGGAGAATGCCTGGGGATCTTCTCGTGAGTGGTTTTCTGTGCCTCTGCTGGTCTGTCTGTATGTTTTACCCTCAGGGTTTTTTGAGAACCTATTTTTATTTTTATCAACCCCTTTGCTCCCCCATATGCATGCATTCTTAAAGAGGCACTATGCAGAAATCGCTCCTCCATTTCCTGGTTGCTAAAATTCTAATAGTTAGCATAATTTCAGTTTATGTGACAAAACAAGCAAATATAGTGTAGAGCAGGGTTCCCCAACTGGCAGCGGGTGGTTTTATTTGGCCCCCCAAGTTTTCTGAGCAAAAAATAAATACTTCTCTCTGTATAGATTTTTTTTGTTGATGTGTGTGGAATTTTAATTGTTGGACATAAAATACTGATTTTTACGTCAAGAAATCTGTTCCCAAGCCTTCCAACACATAATGTAGAGATACGACATGATCATATACAAATGTAAGCAAGGATTGAAATGATTGTTTTAGTCAAACATTATATCTGTTTGGGCTTCTTGCGGTCTACAAATCATTTGTAATTATGTTCCGGCCCCCCGACCATCAGCTCAAGAAAATGTTTTACCATCTAAACTGCTGTAAAATATATTTTCCATAACCAAAAATATTGTATTTTCAGCTGTTTGAAGCTGGTGTACAAAACGGAATAGTGAAAAAGACGCAAAAGCGAAACTTAAGAACGGGAAGCATAGAAATCGCACACATTGACCAGATCTACCGCTTCTTAGACCTGCTTTCAATGAGAATGACAGATCTATAACACACATCTATGTGAATTTGGTCGGGTCGCCCAAAAAGTGACATTGCAGCTTTAACTTCTTGGATGTAAAGTCCCCTATTCAGGGGACCTTTAGAAAGTATGCACATTTTCTCTAACACTAAACATACACATGTATTTTTTCAGTTATAAGGAAGGTGAAATCTTATAGTTGGTTATTTAAAAATTTGATTATACTACACTGAACAAAAAATATACATGCAACATTCAACAATTTTACTGTTACAGTTCATATAAGGAAATCAGTCAATTGAAATTAATTCATTAGGCCCTAATCTATGGATTTCACATGACTGGGAATACAGATCTGCATCTGTTGGTCATAGATACCTTTAAAAAAGGTAGGGGCATGGATCAGAAAACCTGTCAGTATCTGGTGTGACCACCATTTGCTCATGCAGTGTGACACATCTCCTTTGCATAGAGTTGATCAGGCTGTTGATTGTGGATTGTTGCCCCACTCTTCTTCAATGGCTGTGCAACGTTTCTGGATATTGGCGGCAACACGTAGATCTAGAGCATCCCAAACATGCTCAAACCGCTCGCCCACACAACGCCATATACCCTGTCTGCCATCTGCCCGGTACAGTTGAAACCGGGATTCATCCGTGAAGAGCACACTTCCAGTGGCCATCAAAGGTGAGCGTTTGCCCACTGAAGTCGGTTACGACACCGATCTGCAGTCAGGTCAAGACCCTGGTGAGGACGACGAGCACGATGAGGTTCCCTATTATTCTTCGGTTGTGCAAACCCACAGTTTCATCAGCTGTCCGGGTGGCTGGTCTCAGACGATCCCGCAGGTGAAGAAGCCGGATGTGGAGGTCCTGGGCTGGCGTGGTCACATGTTTTCTGCGGTTGTGAGGCCGGTTGGACATACTGCCGAATTCTCTAAAATGACGTTGGAGACAGCTTATGGTAAAGAAATGAACATTCAATTCTCTGGCAACAGCTCTGGTGGACATTCCTGCAGTCAGCATGCCAATTGCACGCTCCCTCAAAACTTGAGACATCTGTGGTAGTGTTGTGTGACAAAACTGCACATTTTAGAGTGGCCTTTTATTGTCCCCAGCACAAGGTGCACCTGTATAATGATCATGCTGTTTAATCAGCCTCTTGTTATGCCACACCTGTCAGATGGATGGATTGTCTTGGCAAAGGAGAAATGCTCACTAACAGGGACGTAAACAAATATGTGCACAATTTGAGAGCAATACGCTTTTTGTCGTGAAACTCGGGATCAACAGTTTACATGTTGCATTTATATTTTTGTTCAGTATATATTTAGAAAGCATACAAGTCATTTCAAACTTTATTCATACAGTTGTTGAATAGGAAGTACATCATATGAAATATTTCTATCATATTTTTACTGTATACTTGAGCTTGTGTCCTCAATAGTGACTACACCTCAGCAATGTATAACTATATTTTACCAGAAAGGTGAGAATTTTTTCTTCAAACATTTTCTTTGAGTATGCAGCATTAATAGTTATTGTTTATGGCCCTCTCATGAGAAATAATTACTTTTGGGGATTACATTTAGTTACTTAAGTGTAACTTGTTTTATAAAATTCCATTTACTCAGAATTAGTGGTGCTTTTAACAAAATGGCCAATTCAACCCAAAATCAAAGTTTATTTCTATGCATAAATAAATAGCCTTACAGTTTAGTGCGTGGAGTTAAAATACTGCAGTTAATACATAGTTGAACTGGTACCATGAAGACCATGCAAATGTTATTTTTTTGTATCTACTGAAACTCCTTTTCTCCTTTGAGAAATGTCTCTGCATTGACCGAGCACAATCTCCATATTATGAGTGTCTCACCTTCCTGGCTGTCTATTCTTTGCGCCGCCCCTATTCCTCTGATGAGCAGATCACTCGGTGTCCCAACCAATCATGGTGCAGCGACGACCCGGACAGGGTTTCCATGGGAACGGCGATGCCAACTCCGTGCTGTCCCCTCGCTCCGAGGGCGGAGGCCTTGGCGTGAGCATGGTGGAATACGTCCTGAGCTCCTCTCCCGGTGACAAGATGGATGGCCGTTACAGGAATGGTGGCTACGTAAGTCTTTCTGCCAAGGTCTCTTTCGCTCTCTGCCCTTTTTTTGCCGATCCACTCAGAACAAACAGAAGATCTACATCAGCTTCAATAGTGATACAAAAATTGTCAGGTCTAGAGTTATTCCAGAAATGCAACCTCAAATGAAGCTTCAAATTGTCTTATTGCTTAGGGTTAGGCTCTGGCCTTGTGTTCTCCAATGGAGCGTTGTGTCTGTTTGGAGAAACGAGCCTTCTCAATGTTTATTTATTTTTGCTTTTGTAGGGCGGAGGGGACGCTGACCCGGACGGGAGGGAGAAGGGCGACGCGCAAGACAAGACGTCCCCGTTTGAAGGGGACAAGAGCCCAGAAATGAAAGTGGGAGAGGAGAGTGACGTGGCCAAGGCCAACGGGAGAGGCCTGCTCAATGGCATGGACAGAGACTGCAAAGACTTCAAGTATGGGCCCTTTTTAGTGATTATTGGGGGGTGAATGGGGTCGTTAAATAATAATTGAGATGTATTTACCAATCCGTCACCACACATAGAGCCCTCTCTGGAAAATGAAAGTTATTTGAATTATGCAGATAAGATGTTAGTCACTTCCAAGCTGTATTAGACCTAGGGACTAATACGTTCTAATACTTTTGTTTCAAAGTGCAACTGATTAAGGCAGTCAATGTCATTGTGAGACTTTGCTGGGAGACAGTTGTGAACAAAGCCTCAAAGTCCATATCGTCATATGTACCCCCCCCCCCCTTCTCCAGCCCCACCCCAGGAAGTCGCCAGGCCTCCCCCACCGAAGCGGTGGAGAGGATGGGCCCCAGCCAGGCCGGGCTGGAGATGATGGCCCAGCACCAGCAGCAGCAGCATCAGCAGCACCAGCACCACCTCCAGCACCACACCATGCAGCCCCAGAGCAAGACCCAGCAGCAGGAGGACTTCCAGAGCCAGGAGGCCCAGAACATGGGCAACATGGAGCAGCAGCAGGGTGTGGAGTCCCTCCAGTTCGACTACGCCGGCAACCAGATCCAGGTGGACTCCTCCGGCACCCCTGTTGGCCTGTTTGACTACAACTCCCAGCAGCAGGTGGGTTGAACCAGGAAGTTGTAACTAGGGACTACATTTCTCTTCGGTGCATAGATTGATGTAACTTTTCTTTGGTGAATCTTGTAGATCTGAAGGAACAATGTATTTTTGGGGTGGGGTCTGTGTCGCCTATCGAAATCATTGGCTGAGCCGCTGGACTGAGCACAGGAAGTTAAATGTGTTGAACTTATTAGAAAAGTAGTTATGTTACAGTAGTTTCTCATCATTCATGAAAATAATGCATCAGTGATTCTTATTTCCTGCAACTTTCTGAACAAGTAACTGTTTCTGTGCACCTGTGTGTTGTGTATCCAGTTAGCATGACTTTAATGTTTTCTCTGCATAATCTAATGGCTTTCCCAAAAAACCTTCCCAATGAAATGTTGACTGCAAAGTAGGTCTATCTGGCAGAATGATATCATGAGGATTTGTATCAATCAGATTAGCATTTGAATTGCAAACACGGCTACAAGAACCTCTGCAGAAACACTGCTAGCCAAACACAAATGTCTCTTCCTGGTGCGCAATTTAATTAAAGGGCAACTTGAAAAATAACCTGGGAAAAAAACTGGGAAAATCCAAAACCTGGAAACTAAACGGAGAAAACTGAATTTGGCAATAAAATCTTAATCTTTCCTGGTTGCTAAAATTCTAATTGTTTTCCTAATTTTAGTTTATGTGACAAAACAAACAGTCTATAGTGTAGAGAATCATTGTACCATGTAAACCTCTGTGAAATATATTTTCAAAAACCAAAAATATTGCATTTTCAGCTGTTTGGAGCTGGTGTACAAAACCGAAAGTAAAAGACACAAACTTAAGAACGGGAAGCATAGAAATAGCGCACATAGAACAGATCTACCGCTTCTTAGACTTGCTTTCAATGAGAATGACAGATCTATAACTCACTTTTCTAGGTGTCAAGCCGCCCAAAAAGTGACATGCTGTAACTTTAAACCCAGACCAAAGAACCCAACTCACCCCTATCCCAGGACAATATTTTCTGTTTATTGTGGTTTGGAAAGTTAGGAATATTGAGATTAATCAAATATGTATTATGTACTTGTTGTTCTCTGAAAATAGGCACACTTTCGTATGTTTCCGTGCAAATTGTTTGTCACCTTTTTGGGCCCTTACCAGTTTGCATCCCTGTCCCTGAGAGTAGTGGAAACTTGGGTATTAAAGTGTCTAACTGGTTCTGTTTTGTTGTCCAGTTGTTCCAGAGGTCCAACCATCTGACTGTCCAGCAGCTCACTGCAGCCCAGCAGCAACAGTATGCTCTGGCTGCTGCCCAGCAACAACACCTTGGTAAGTTGGAGCTCAATTTGGTTCACCAAATTTGTACAAGTGTATAACAGGAAAAATATAAGCACCCCCTAAATTATAATATTATGAATATAATTGTAGTTTTTATTACTATATACAGTGTAATGTACCGTGGATTTATTCATAAATCTACATGGCTCCAAACTGCACACGTACATATAAAGAGCATATTTGTGCCAGATTGGGTAGTCGTTGGTGTAGTATTAAGGTTGAATATTTTGTACGTGAAAATGTACCGAATGCCGTACTAGTTGGATTTCATTGTGGTTTTGACGGCAATTTGATATTGGATGATGTGTTTATTCAATATGGAACGCACTGCTAACTGGATGTTTTCTTCAGCCGGCCTTGCTCCCGCGTTTGTGCCAAACCCATACATCATCAACACTGGACCCCCCGGAGCTGACCCCTACACCGCTGCAGGACTGGCCGCAGCGGCTACACTTGCCGGTTAGCACTCTCCACACACACAAACTGTATTCATACATAGCACCTCTTTCACTCTTGAGTGGGTACCTTCATTAAAAGCTGCTTTACTGCTACGTGAGTGTATCATCTTCTACTTCCATGCACGCAACAATTGTATAAAATTCATGCCACAGGTTTGGTAGTAGTAACTGAGGACTCCCTTCCCTTAGGGCCTACAGTGGTTCCCCCCCAGTACTATGGTGTTCCTTGGGGCGTGTACCCTGCCAACCTCTTCCAGCAACAGGCTGCCGCGGCGGCTGCCAGTCACAATGCTAACCAGCAGGCATCCAATCAGGGACCAGGGCCAGGACAGCAACAGGTAGGCATTTCCCCAATTAACAGCAGCTAACTGGAGAATTAATTTAAGTATTGAGAAGAGAGTTATAGACGAAGGAATATTGGAAGTGACCATGATTGATCTTGTACATGTTCCCTCTGTCTCAGATGACTCAAGTCATTTTAAGTGAGGTTGTGGTGTAACCCTTGATCTTCTCTCTCTCCAGGTGATGCGCCCTGGGAACAACCAGCGCCCCCTCACCCCTGGTCAGAGCCAGCAGAGCCAGCAGGAGTCCCTGGCAGCAGCCGCAGCCGCCAACCCTGCTCTCGCCTATGCTGGTATGCCAGGTCAGTGACCGAGTAGTGTTAGTTGAGGAGCACACAAGGGTTTTTAACACTACTGAGCCAAACCAAGCTGTACTGATCAGGCCTGGTTAAGCATTCACATAATTGCAGGAACAAAGGACAATGTGAAAAGAGAATATCCGAGCCAATAGAGTTTGGTTTGGGTCGGCGCGGTGTAACACCCTCAATTGTTCTGGATTTTACCCAAGGAGTGAGAGGTGAAGAGTAGCATTTGAATATAGTATACTTGCTCTCAGCATTATGTGCATCTATGCCAGCCTTCAAAGGCATGTTGAGGTTCCCCTTTAGCCCCTTCAAACAGGCTTAACAGGTCGTGTAGTGTTTTAGGGGGGGTAATTTGATATGAAAACTTGTCTCTCATATTCCCACTGTGGGAATACCTTCGTGTACATACTATTTTAAACTGCCTTTCTCTTACTGTTGATTATGGTGCAGTAAGATACCACATCTTTAGCCCTCTTGTAGAGCACACGCAACTTCATAGACCAGGCTGGTTTTCACAGTGTGTTTCCCCTCAGTTTGTCTGTCTCCTGCCCACCCAGGTTACCAGATGCTGGCCCCCGCCGCCTACTATGACCAGAACGGAACCCTGGTGATGGCCCCCGGGGCCCGCGGTGGTCTGGGAGGGCCCGTCCGCCTGGTCCAAACCCCGCTCCTCATCAACCCACAGGCCGCAGCTCAGGCTGGTAAGTACCACGGGTTGTTTGGCCCAGTGTTCTCCTCATGTTTATTGTGGGAAATTGTGTTTTTGGAGGCGGCTTAGCAGCCAGTGGAATGAGTGCCACGTTTACAGTGTGAACACAATATTACTGTACTTTGCTTGTGAAAAATGAGCAAAGCTTTATAATCTAGACTCTCAATCTTACAATTACGAATTGCTCATACGGACAGGGCTGTCCAGCAGTGTTAATACGCTCACCCCACCCCCTGTCCTCTCCAAACGGGGACCACTGAACCGTGTTGAGCTGCTTTTTCTTTCCATCCCTTCTGTCTATTTAGCGGCCGCGGCTTCGGCGTCCGGCTCGGGCAACAACATGTCAGGCCCCCAGCCCAACGGCCTGTACCGCTCCATGCCCCAACCCCAGCAGCAGCCCCAGCAGCAGCAGAACCAGGGCCTGCCCTCCAGCTCCTTCTACGGCTCCGGGTCGGTGCCGGCAAGCTCCCAGAGCAGCTCCTTGTTCTCCCCCACCTCCTCTCTGGGCTTCAGCGGCGCCGGCGGCTCCCTGGGCGTGGGCCTGGGCTCGGCACTCGGAGGCTTTGGCTCCTCAGGTTAGTGGAGAAGGAACTTTCAGGTTCATTGTACATATGCAAAAAGCGTACATAAAATGTGATGTCATGCACCACTTAGACTTTTCTCTTGACAATTAATTGCGTTTTCCAAGATTTGTGATATATGTAAATGTCTCTCTTTGCCCCTGCTTTAGATTCCCTGCTGTCTTCTCTCTCTCTCCTCATTATATTTCCCCGTGTTCATCTCTCTCTCCCGTAGTGTCGAGCTCCACCAGCAGCAGTGTCTCTCGCCGGGACTCCCTGCTGGCCAGCTCTGACCTGTACAAGCGTGGCGGCGGCGGCGGCAGCAGCCTCACCCCCATTGGCCAGCCCTTCTACAACAGCCTGGGCTACTCCTCGCCCAGTCCCATTGGACTAACACCGGGCCACTCCCCCCTCACACCCCCACCCTCTCTGCCCTCCTCTCACGGCTCCTCCTCCAGCCTTCACCTGGGTAAGATCAAGTTTTAAATATATATATTGGAGAGCATATACAGTGGGGGGAAAAAAGTATTTAGTCAGCCACCAATTGTGCAAGTTCTCCCACTTAAAAAGATGAGAGAGGCCTGTAATCAACTATGACAGACAAATTGAGAAAAAATAATCCTGAAAATCACATTGTAGGATTTGTAATGAATTTATTTGCAAATTAATGGTGGAAAATAAGTATTTGGTCACCTACAAACAAGCAAGATTTCTGGCTCTCACAGACCTGTAACTTCTTCTTTAAGAGGCTCCTCTGTCCTCCACTCGTTACCTGTATTAATGGCACTTGTTTGAACTTGTTATCAGTATAAAAGACACCTGTCCACAACTTCAAACAGTCACACTCCAAACTCCACTATGGCCAAGACCAAAGAGCTGTCAAAGGACACCAGAAACAAAATTGTAGACCTGCACCAGGCTGGGAAGACTGAATCTGCAATAGGTAAGCAGCTTGGTTTGAAGAAATCAACTGTGGGAGCAATTATTAGGAAATGGAAGACATACAAGACCACTGATAATCTCCCTCGATCTGGGACTCCACGCAAGATCTCACCCCGTGGGGTCAAAATGATCACAAGAACGGTGAGCAAAAATCCCAGAACCACACGGGGGGACCTAGTGAATGACCTGCAGAGAGCTGGGACCAAAGTAACAAAGCCTACCATCAGTAACACACTACGCCGCCAGGGACTCAAATCCTGCAGTGCCAGACGTGTCCCCCTGCTTAAGCCAGTACATGTCCAGGCCCGTCTGAAGTTTGCTAGAGTGCATTTGGATGATCCAGAAGAGGATTGGGAGAATGTCATATGGTCAGATGAAACCAAAATAGAACTTTTTGGTAAAAACTCAACTCGTCGTGTTTGGAGGACAAAGAATGCTGAGTTGCATCCAAAGAACACCATACCTACTGTGAAGCATGGGGGTGGAAACATCATGCTTTGGGGCTGTTTTTCTGCAAAGGGACCAGGACGACTGATCCGTGTAAAGGAAAGAATGAATGGGGCCATGTATCGTGAGACTTTGAGTGAAAACCTCCTTCCATCAGCAAGGGCATTGAAGATGAAACGTGGCTGGGTCTTTCAGCATGACAATGATCCCAAACACACCACCCGGGCAACGAAGGAGTGGCTTCGTAAGAAGCATTTCAAGGTCCTGGAGTGGCCTAGCCAGTCTCCAGATCTCAACCCCATAGAAAATCTTTGGAGGGAGTTGAAAGTCCGTGTTGCCAGCGACAGCCCCAAAACAACATGCTCTAGAGGAGATCTGCATGGAGGAATGGGCCAAAATACCAGCAACAGTGTGTGAAAACCTTGTGAAGACTTACAGAAAACTTTTTGACCTGTGTCATTGCCAACAAAGGGTATATAACAAAGTATTGAGAAACTTGTTATGACCAAATACTTATTTCCACCATAATTTGCAAATAATTCATAAAAAATCCTACAATGTGATTTTCTGGAGAAAAAAAATGCTCATTTTGTCTGTCATAGTTGACGTGTACCTATGATGAAAATTACAGGCCTCTCTCATCTTTTTAAGTGGAAGAACTTGCACAATTGGTGGCTGACTAAATACTTTTTTCCCCCACTGTATATGAACATAAGATGGGCAGGCAGATATATTTAGAAATTAATTGTGTATCGCTGCATGACGTTTTGTCGCCACCCTGCCATTGTAATTCACTCACTCTTCAAAAGAGGAAATAGTGTTGCACAAAATGGAGATGTATGTCTTTATCCTGCGTCTGCGGCAATTGTCAGTCAGTCTTGCTGGAAATGTCTGTTTTCATACATACACGAGTAGATTCATGCAGAGCTGCGAGGACTCTTACTACAATCTCCACCTATAAAATATATATACATACATACATACTATCTGTCTACTTCACTTGACTCAACCACCACTGTCTAAGTGGATGGCTATACATGCATAGAATTGGTGACCAGAGAGGTGATTCCCATTCAAGCTACATACTGAGGATCGAAATTCTATTTCTATGGCTACACCCCCTCATCCTTTGTTCCCTCCCGGTATTCCCAACCTCCAGGCGGCCTGACGAACGGCAGTGGGCGCTACATCTCGGCGGCGCCCGGCGCGGAGGCCAAGTACCGCAGTGCAGGGGGCACGTCCAGCCTGTTCAGCTCCAGCAGTCAGCTGTTCCCGCCGTCGCGTCCTCGCTATAGCCGCTCAGACGTCATGCCCAGTGGGCGCAGCCGCCTGCTGGAGGACTTCCGCAACAACCGCTTCCCCAACCTGCAGCTGCGTGACCTGCCCGGCCACATGGTGGAGTTCTCCCAGGACCAGCACGGCTCCAGGTGGGTGACGGATAGAGGCACGGATGAATGGACACACACGCACAGTGGTACACAAACACTCACACATCCTCTGTTGCATATTATGCCCCACTATCATGCTCTTGAAAAACAACACATCACCATAATGCTCGGGTTGCTCTTAACTCCTCTTCTTCCCTCTCCTCCTCTTCCTCCTCCTCTGTCTCCAGGTTCATCCAGCAGAAGCTGGAGAGGGCCACCCCGGCAGAGAGACAGATGGTGTTTGGGGAGATCCTGCAAGCAGCCTACCAGCTGATGACCGACGTGTTTGGAAACTACGTCATCCAGAAGTTCTTTGAGGTGGGAACCATTGTCGGGTTAGATTCGATGGCACTCTGGATACTTGTTATCGTTGGATCATAACATACCAACTGTTAGTGTGCCTTCAACCAGTACCTGTCTGATAATTCGATTTTTACTAGCACTGATATTGCACATCTATATATATTTTTTAAGGTTAAATATTAATCGTGATATTATCTTAACTACTTTAGTTGGTTGCACTTATTGTACGGTTATCTAAATGACTAAAATTGACATTATATAATGCAAATGAACAAACTTTCAAGTCGCCATAATTTTGCATCGTAATTGAAATGTTCTTTGTGTCTGTGCAGTTCGGCAGTGCAGATCAGAAGCTGGCTCTGGCCACCCGCATCCGCGGCCACGTGCTGCCATTGGCCCTGCAGATGTACGGCTGCCGGGTCATCCAGAAGGCCCTGGAGTCTATCTCCTCTGACCAGCAGGTAATTGTAAGTGGGATCTTCACTTCTCGTTAGATCATTTTATTTGCTTCTAGGATGCGTCCCAAATGGCAGCCTATTCCCATCATAGTGCACTACTTTTGACCAGGGCCCATGATGTAGCCCATGACGAAGCCCTAGGGTTATCAGTTGCTGCATTCTGATTAGTGTACTCTCCAGTAAGCATGGTGGATGGATGAATAGAACTGTGTAATACGGTCCTGTGATCTTTTCTGTTCACTTTGAACAGTCTTAAGCATCTCTGAATTGCCCTTTACATTGAGGACTATGGTAGAAAGTAGACTGTTATCAATGAGCCATTGGAAGGAAGAGAATGGATGGATGTACTGTAGAAATATCATTATTTAGTCATTCTATTTCTATGGGATGAACAAAGACTGGTAGAAACTGGATAGATGGACATGAGCGGGATGGATAGATGACTCCTCTCCCTCTCTATCCCCTTCCTAAGAGTGACATAGTACGAGAACTGGACGGCCACGTGCTGAAGTGTGTGAAGGATCAGAACGGGAACCATGTGGTGCAGAAGTGTATCGAGTGTGTTCAGCCCCAGGCCCTGCAGTTCATCATCGACGCCTTCCAGGGCCAGGTGAGAGCCCATTCAATAGGGCACGCAATGGAAAATGTTTTGTAACAGAAAATGAGTGTTTCTGATTGAACAAGTTTAAGTTGTCCCTCCGTGTTTTAATGCCTGATGAGCTCGACCCATAAAACATAAACCCGTTATGATGCACCAATAAATCTCATTATCCTAGGGTGTGTTCGTAAATTCAGAGCGTAGTCAGATTGTCCGTTCGTAAATTCAGAACGTTTCACTCTAGGAGCGTTCAGGGCGCACACTGGACACTGGCCAAGGAGTAGGGTTGATCAGAGCGTTCTGACCTCACCACAGCAGTCAAGCACCCAAGCTAACTGGCTAACTTGCTAGCTACTCCCAGACACAAATGAGAGAACGCCTCACTCTGACCATTTTACTCACCCTAGCAGAGCTGGTTAGGCTGTTTTCATGTTATCTAGAGCGTTGGTGACTGTAACTGTGCTGCTGGCAACAATTGTTTGCCAATGTTTACTGACACCGGTCATATTAGACGGGTGTTGCGTGTTTGTAAATTCATCAGTTATTCTGCGCGCTGGCACACTCGGACGAGAGTGCTCTGAAATAGGAGTAGAGAGCCAGAGTGACTTTACGAACGCACCCCTAGTTATGGGTGTAGCCAGGCTCGTGTTCAGCAGGGCACACCGCAGCAACACTTTTTACAACTGGAAACTAAAATCTATGTTCTTATTGGACCAGCTCCAATAGCAGTACCTGCCCGCTCCAGAAAAATGTTCACTTATTGAAAACGACCCAGACACACAGGCTATTAGTAGAAAGGTTTCCCCCCATTTTCTCCTTAGGATTCAATGTATGGACTGGCTCATTTGGCCCTTTACAAGTTTTTTTGTTTTGTTAAATACATTTTCACACGTCGGCATTGAGCGCCAGCTAATGACGACATACTCTACGCTTTAATAAATGTTCTGCTTAATTCCATTTATCTGAAGCGTTACTTTATTTTTCACTTATCTAGACCCGAGGGAGCCTGCCACCCATTCTGTTGAGGTGTATTGTGCTGTCTGTCTCTTCCCTGCAGGTGTTTGTGCTGTCCACCCACCCTTACGGCTGCAGGGTGATTCAGAGGATCCTGGAGCACTGCACCCAGGAGCAGACCCTGCCCATCCTGGAGGAGCTGCACCAGCACTCTGAGCAGCTCGGCCAGGTAAGTGCGGCCAGGCAAGCCCCTGGTCTCAACTCATAACTAGGCCCCAGTCGCCCAGACACAGACAATGTAATGCTTTGTGGTTGTTAGATGTGATTAGTTGTGTGTTGTAGTTTTTGTGGAGTTTTGTTTTAATTGTTAGTGTGGTTAGTGTTGCTGTGTAGCCTGGGTTGTGTTCATTAGGGCACGAAAGGGTGACGGAAAACAGAAATGGCCGATTCTCTTTGGACAAGTCCCGGCAGTCCCTCCCTGTTTCAATCTGTTTTCTTCCCTTTGGTGCCTAACGAACACGACTGTGAGCCCTGTCAGTTAATGTTAATCCTACGGTTAATGATAGATAAGGATAAGTGTATTAATGCTGTCAATGATTTCTACCTCTGACCTATGTTAATTACCCCCCCCCCCCCACTTATTCCATCTAGAAATATCAAGGCGTTTCATTGGAGATGACACCCAAAACATATTATACAGTGTCCAGCGACGCACTGTTTAAGGTCAGAGCAATTCGCCTCCCTCCCACGCGGACGTGGTCCTCGTGTCACCTCCCTCCCTACTCTCGCTCTCTTGCTCTCTCTCTCTCTCTCTCGCTCTCTCTCTCTCTCAACAACCAGTGTGCTTTTACACAGTAAAGGCCTTTTACCATCACTAAACTCTATCCCTCTTTTGCAGGCCTCTTTCCTCCTCTAAACTCACAGAGCACGCCTCTCCCTCCCCTCCCCTCCTTTTTCTCCTTCCTTCGCTTATAAACAATCTCTCTGTTCTGTCACGTAGAGGATTCACAGCACCCCACTTCTCGGCTCTCTCTGTTTGGATAATCCCTCTCTTAGGTCACGGGCGCCTCCTGATTCTTCCTCTTTTTCCCTCCCTCCTTCACTCTTCTCTTCCTTACTTCTGTGATTTTGTAATCCTCAATGCTTGGTAGGAAGACTCCCTAAGTCAAGAGCATTTGTTTTGCCACAATTTGGACTCTCCCCCCAACATTGACATGGGTTGTTCTATAGGCTTCCAACTCGACTGTGGGTTCTTGGAACTTAGGGGTAAAGTCCATCAGACCATGTTGAGCAATGATGCAAAATTATGGGGAGGTTTGTAAATCAAACAATGTAATTTGCATTAAATCAAATGGGGGGGGGGGGGTCTGTAATAATAAGGCATGATACTCATGGGTGATTCCCCACGAAACCAGGACAAAACAGGTCATTTAAAACATATATATGTTGACTTATATTTGACATTTTTATCTGAAAGCATTATTGAAAAATAATGAATTGAAGTTGGAATATTTGTGACATTTTGACCTTACCCAGCCAGGCCTTGCACCATAAAAAAAAAAAAAAAAAAACTGTTTTAATGAGGAATCGCCATCATTTAAGATGGTCAAAATGTTGGCACTATTGATGTTATTATCTGGTCAGGTGAGTTTCAGTGTCTGTCTTCCTGCGCAGCTTTAGGTGTATTGGGTTGTTTTCCCTCACAACCATACCCATAACTGTCTTATCAGCTGGCCCTGAAGGGACAAAGATGATGCTGTTTGCTCATAGACCTGTATAGGCCTGAGTCCCACGCAAATCACTAGCCTCTCTGGTCTTTTGACCTTAATCTGCAGTGATGACATGGTGGTATTTGGTGCTATTGATACGATTCTGCGGGGGTGTCGTTGTAGATTTCTGTCACAAGAAAATCCGTCTCAACTGTCTGTCTGAAAAGTATTGAATCCATAGTGGGGGTTAACTAAATGCCATTACAAGATTATGTAATTTATTGTTTTCCTTTGTGGCAAATGGGAAACGTGATCACACACACGCTCACTATCTTCTGTTTCCATCGCCCTCTGCAGGATCAGTACGGCAACTACGTCATCCAGCACGTCCTGGAGCACGGCAGACCCGAAGATAAGAGCAAAATTGTGGCAGAGGTCCGCGGAAAGGTGCTCCTCCTGAGCCAGCACAAATTTGCAAGGTAAGGCAAAACCCTTTGGTTCTCCATTACTAGTCATAGGGCTGTTTTCATTTTAGATACCTTTCCATAGCTGGTGGGAGTGAGATCCATTTATTCCATTCCAGCCATTACAATGAGGCCAGCCTCCAGTTTTAAAGTGACACAAGCCTCCACTGAGTGAGACTAATCACATTCTGAGGCTTCATGGGGTGGTTTCCCATGGTTTTCAATGTAGATTCTCCAGTGAGTTAGCTTTTTAGTTCAGGACTAGGCTGACAGTGTCCAGGACACCGGCCCATGTAGTTTTAGTGTTTTTAACTAAGTCCACCTCTCGTCTCTCCTTCAGTAACGTGGTGGAGAAGTGTGTGATCCACTCGTCCCGTGCCGAGCGGGCCCTGCTGATTGACGAGGTGTGCTGCCAGAAGGATGGCCCCCACAGCGCCCTGTACACCATGATGAAGGACCAGTACGCCAACTACGTGGTGCAGCGGATGATCGACATGGCCGAACCCGCCCAGCGCAAGATCATCATGCACAAGGTGGGTTGGCATATACCATCGGCTCTGAGGTGAAGTCATTAGTGCAAATAGTTTCACAACGGGAAACATTTTGCTACGGAAACGAGCATTTCTCAATGGACAAGTTCAGGTTAGTCCCTTTCCTGTTTCTCCCTGTTTGCTTGCCTTTGGTTCCTAGTGAGCACATCCCACATCTCCTATTGCCTGTTCATTTAGATCAGATTAATTTAAGCCAGGTTCATTTATTGCCATAAAACCAAAGGTTGGTGGTGTTTTCGGTACAGCATGGTTAGGATACTCTGATTAAGTGATTCCTAGTTGTTATCCTAATTCTAATTGTTAGCCATAGGAGTCTCTCCTTGCCAAGTGCTGTGTGAAGTCCTGTATTTTTATGTGGAATGTTGACCAGACGGACATTTGCTGTCCCATCATTTTTTATGTCTTAGTATCCTTCAAGGGCAGACTTTTTAAGTGGAAGGCAGACGGCATTGTTTTTAAAAATGTAAAACAAGAACGACGTTTAAACCTGATTGGTCCAGTCCCACCATAAATGGTGTAATTAATTAATCTTTGCTCTCTGCTCCCCCAGATCCGGCCCCACATCGCCACCCTGCGCAAGTACACCTACGGCAAGCACATCCTGGCCAAGCTAGAGAAATACTACATGAAGAGTAGCTCTGACCTGGGGCCCATCGGAGGGCCCGCCAACGGCCTCATGTAGGCCTGTCCTGCCTTCTGTGTCCATTACCTAAAGACCAGAGTAGGAGCTGCCCCCCCCCCCCCACACCTTATTTCTAGCTCCTGAGCCATCAGGGCTTTGACACCCTCTGTTGAATTACCAAAAAAAAAAAGATTTCAACTTCACCTATGAAATGCTGTGACAACTGACCTTGCCACTCTAATGCTACCCTCAGCGCTGGTCCCCTACGTGGCCACCATGGAGGGGGTAGCAGACAGTTTTGCAGGCAATCTCTTGGGTAAAGCACAACCCCCTCCCCCCATTTGTTTATTATGTAACTGACTGGTTTTTCATATAATCCTGTACATTTAGTTTTTTACCTTGTAAATTCTCTGTAGAAAAAAAAAAAGGAACCGCATTTGCTGAAAATGTACAATTCTTACAATTACACCAGCAAGTGACTTTATAAGGCCGAACTTGAGTGATCCTTTTAAACAATTTTCCATTTGTTTTTGTACCCAGACTTACTACTACTATCAGCTGTTCTAATTAAAAGCCAGGTGTTTAAATATAATATATAAATAATTATCTTTCTACTACCACACAATGATCCCAATGCCAAAGCAGCTGATGGATCCATTTTCTACTTCTAGCACTGCATAGTATGGATAGATTATGAAACCCATCTGTCCCACCGACGATTACTATGTCTCTCGTGCCAATGAGTTAGTCATCCACTGGTCTCTACTTGAACAACTAGAATGATTTGCTTTGGAGAGCTCTGTGCTTAATTTTTTGAGTGTCATCCAGTTGGTGGCTCGTGATGGCCTCGATTTTTTTATTTTTCTCCCCGCTGTTTTTCCGCAGACTGGTGCATCGGTCTGTCGCACTGTTGGCTTGCAGTTGGCTTGATTTGACTAGTCGGCAACGAATGGCATTGGTACTAAACGGTGCACATTGAGAAATGCGTACATACGCTGTTGCATCCGTAGGCAGTGATGCCACTAAGCTCCACCTATACGGTCTTACTCTATGATTCTTTTTTTGGGCCGATCACTCTATGTGGCTGCTTGGGGGCTTACGGCAGACATGGCTACCGTAGACGTTTATTCTCATTCAGAAGCAGAGCACGAGGTCGGGTTGAATAGTGGAAGTTTAACCTGGTTGTAATCTTTACATTAAATGACCGTAGCGGGGCTTTTGGGGAGCGGTGGGGGTTGGAGCGGGTTAAGCATAGGCATGCTGTAACAGGTTTTTAATAACTTGGAATTATTTCTTTATCATGTATTGTGGAACATCTATCTGTCTTGTAGTTTTGAGATGAACACTGCCCTAGAAGCGGTATCTTTATGTACTGAATATTCATCTCTTGCATAGAAGTAGTTTAGCAAAAATGTATAGCATCTTTGTGTATGAGTAAATATTAAATTGTTGCTTTTTTGGGTAGGGGGCTTGGGTAAGAGTTTTTTTATTTAATATTTTTATCCCAAGTGTGTAAAGCGGAGAGTAGAATTGGGATTTGGAGATGAGATGAGAAAAATAACAGGATGATTTTATGTGAGACCGTCATGAGGTTGTTTTAATTCAGTTATTCTTTAAAACAAATTCTGGTCTGAATATTCTAGTGAATTGGGTGGGGAGGGTAGTGGGGCCATCTAAAAAGCTATACAACTCCTCTGTGATGCTAGTAGTAATGGCTTTTGCTTCATATGAATAATTGTAGAATACATGTAGTATATGTGCAGTTAATAAGTGTGAGTTTAATTGACAAGTCTAGTTGTTGTGTTTGACAGGCCTTGATAAATTGGTAGTGATGCTTTTATTTCGTCTGTACAGTTGTACATTTGTAAACGTTGATGCTGTAAATGGATGTCTTTTACACTTTTGGGGAAGAATTAGCCTAAATGTGCATTTTGATGTGGATGTATATTCATCACTCCCTTTCCCCTCAAATATAATGTATACAGTTTTATTTGATCAAGCGTTATTTTAAAACCGGTCTTTTTATGGCTTCTCGATCTGACATGGTTTTTGTTTTTAAATCTGTTATGAGAAAGGTCGGCCTCGTTTTGTATGCGGAGCTTTATAACATCTCCTGTTGATATTGTCTTTCTGACGTGTGACAGTTTTAAAGGAACACCAATGCTCTGTACTTAAAATGAGGCTGCTTCTGGGCCCCTCTGCTGCCATGGAAAACTTCACAGGATATGACAGAATTATTTTTGTACAGAAGAGTGCTGTATTTTGGAACAGCTACTACCTTGTAAGCAAAAGAAATGTAAGATATTGTCAATTATATAAATATGAACATATGAGTTTTGTCACACTGTCAAAGTCTTGTACATTTTCAGGTGGCCTTATGTACATTTCCAGACGTTAGATGAAGAAAAAAAAGACTCATTTTTTGGAAGCAGAATTGTGACTATGATTAAACCATTCTAACATTTGATCATTTATTTCTGTGCCTTCTTTCATTTCCATATCTTGTTTAGGAAGTTGGTGTTGTGCAAACTGCAGTACTTGAATTTGGAACTTGAAGTTAGGTGCTAAGCAGGTCAGTTAAATCTGTTTTGAGCAGCAGACGGTGCTTCTTGCCAATCTCCAGTCTCCACATTATCAATTGTTTTATAAAGGAGTTTCTAACAGGTTGCTGAATGTAAATGTCCACATTCTGCAGATCAGATAAGATTTTAATTGGAGTCGAGTTGTCTGACCCTGTGACTCTGACTCTGACATGCTCACTGTCTGTCCTTCTGTAAACAGAGGGCGGGGCCTTGAATCCCGCACAGGTAGGTTTAACGTACACCTGTACTATTATGAGACTGAAAATACGTTTTAATCACTGCAGACAAGATACAATGAGGACTTTACTGATTTCCACTTTACTGTTTGCTATGGGCGCATGTTTACCTGCAATAACGACTTCGGTGAGTAGCCTGGTTTACTTTTCTCATTAATGTCAATTTCATTTACTTGTCATGAATGTCGATTTGAGCAGTGGACTTTTCTCGATCACCTTCTGCTCTGACTGCAGTGAATGAACCTAGGCTTCGGGATGAATATATGCAGCTTGAAATATGAAATACACTGTGATCGATTGGTCACATGCGCCCTGATTACAACAGGTGCAGACTTTACCTTGAAATGCTTACTTACGAGCCCATTCCCAACAATGCAAAGTTAAAAAGTAAGTATTTACAGTATGTATGCCATTGGAATTTTATCATTAGGCCTATCACTAATTATACCTAATGATGATAAGAGATCAGGCTGTTTAACTTCATTTAGATTTTATGATATGATATAGGGGATCAGCTCTCGGACAGGCTTTCAAGGGGTGGAATTTGAATAAGACTTGTGCACCTTTGACCTAGCCTCGTAACAAAGTCTGGACTTGATCTTATCGCCGCTCAATCACATAAACAATTTAGGTGAAAAATGAAAAGATAAGATTCCGATCTGAAAAGTACATCTGTGTAATTTCTATTCTCAATATGCAGGATTACTGTTTCATCTTAAAAGTGTTCACGTGTGATGATACTGTCATGGATCAACTGAGTGCACATCACTCACCGTTATTGTGATGAGATTCATTACACACGGCTGGAGGAGTAAAATCGGTGATGTCACCATGATACTGACAGAATCTTGACCTAATTCTATATTTTTGAATTACTAAAACAATGTCACAAGAAACATAAAATTAAACGCATTTTATTTCCCAAATGGATGCCATCTGTTGGAGAGGTTATTAGTTCTAGCCACTCAATGGATTCTGTCAGACACCTCATGAACGTTTCTGTTGTGAATCACACTTCTACCAACCATTTCCTGATGGCAGACAAAAGATCCAATGTTCTGTTTGTTATCTCTTACTGGGTTAATTTGTAGTCTATTGACACTCACTCACATTGTAAAATCCAGCCAATGCTGTTGTCCCTACAGTCTATGTATTGTCCAGTCGGGTGTTTTTATAGGACAGTGACAGCTTGCCGGCAGTACCTCATCCTGAGTCATTACGTATTGGCCATGTCGTGAAGGGATGAAATGGCCTGTGTTGCAGGTGGGGCACTGGACTTCGGACCTCATGATTCACTGCTTGACTCACAGCTCTGTGTTATTGAGACAATATTGTTTTAGCCTTTCCTCTTGCAGTCCTTAATCTAGTATGACATGGTTTCAAAGGGTTACATGAAAGTTAACCCTGTAAATACTACAATTCAGTCGCTAAATCATTCAAACTACCATGAAAATGTGATAAATACTCCTTGTTTTCTGTTTCTGTGACAATCCTCCTTGCCAGTGAGGTAGAGGGATTGGTATAGAGCAGTGATTGGGAATCTACTCTGAAAGTATAGTTTACTACCAATTACTTCACACTGGAAGAAGTTAAGCTACACTAAAGCTACCTTTAAGAAAAATGTAGTTTACTAAACTAAAGTTACTAAAGTTCCTTTGAAAAAGTAGTTCACTACTTTCTGAAAACGTATCATATGTAAATTTGAAATGTCTGACTACAAATTGCAAGAACAGATCACTTTGGTGTCATATGTTAACATAATGTGGAATTTATGAGACTCGAAATTGAGCTCAGGTGCATCCTGTTTCAATTGATTATCCTTGAGATGTTTTTACGACTTGATTGGAGTCCACCTGAGGTAAATTCAAGTGATTGGACATGATTTGGAAAGGCACACACCTGTCTATATAAGGTCCCACAGTTGACAGTGCATGTCAGAGCAAAAACCAAGCCATGAGATTGAAGGAATTGTCCGTAGAGCTCAGAGACAGGATTGTGTTGAGGCACAGATCTGGGGAAGGGTACCAAAACATTTCTGCAGCATAGAAGGTCCCCAAGAACACAGTGGCCTCCATCATTCTTAAATGGAAGAAGTTTGGAACCACCAAGACTCTTTCTAGAGCTGGCCGCCTGGCCAAACTGAGCAATCGGATCAGGGAGGTGACCAACGATCTGATGGTCACTTTGACAGAATTCCAGAGTTCCTCTGTGGAGATGGGAGAACCTTCCAGAAGGACAATCAGGCCTTTACGGTAGAGTGGCCAGACGGAAGCCACTCCTCAGTAAAAGGCACATGACAGCCCACTTGGAGTTTGTCAAAATGCACCTAAAGGACTCAGACCATGAGAAACAAGATTCTCTGGTCTGATGAAACCAAGATTGAACTCTTTGGCCTGAATTCCAAGCGTCACGTCTGGAGGAAACCTGGCACCATCCCTACGGTGAAGCATGGGACTGGGCGACTAGTCAGGATCGAGGGAAAGATGAACGAAGCAAAGTACAGAAAGATCCTTGATGAAAACCTGCTCCAGAGTGCTCAGGACCTCAGACTGGGTTGAAGGTTCACCTTCCAATAGGACAACGACCCTAAGCACACAGCCAAGACAACGCAGGAGTCACTTCGGGACAAGTCTCTGAATGTCCTTGAGTGGCCCAGCCAGAAACCGGACTTGAACCTGATCGGACATCTCTGCAGAAACCTGAAAATAGCTGTGCAGTGATGCTCCACATCCAACCTGACAGAGCTTGAGAGGATCTGCAGAGAAGAATGGGAGAAACTCCCCAAATACAGGTGTGCCAAGCTTGTAGCGTCATACCCAGGAAGACTCGAGGCTGTAATCGCTGCCAAAGGTGCTTCAACAAAGTACTGAGTAAAGGGTCTGAATACTTATGTAAATGTGATGTTTCAGTTGTTTGTTTTATACATTTGCAAAAATGTATAAAACCTGTTTAAGCTTTGTCATTATGGGGTATTGTGTGTAGATTGATGAGGGAAAATAACAATTTAATAAATTTTTGAATAAGGCTGTAACGTAACCAAATGTGGAAAAAGTCAAGGGGTCTGAATACTTTCCGAATGCACTGTACACCGTTACATAGCAAAAGAGTAAATAACTAATGAAAACACTACCTAGATTTGAATTTAGTTCAACTACCACCAAGCTACTGGAAAATGTAATTCAAGTACTAGTTGAACTACATGTAGTTCACTACTCCCCAACACTGGTATAGAGGTGACCAGTTATTGGCTTCTATAGACACTGGCCTTATGTTGGATTTCCACACTGAAGTTGTACGTGTGTTGTTTTTCCCTGTACTCAGTATTCTATACCTCCAGAAGACCTGGATGGATCGGGACATGATCTGGAAAGTTCTGGCTCAGGTTCAGGGGAATGGGCGGAAGGTAATCCTGTTCATTGTGTGTGTCAGGGTGTGTGTGTCAGCATGTGTGTGTATCTGTGTGTGTGGACGTGTTTAACTATACTTGTGGGGACCAGAAGTCCCGACAAGAATAGTAAACCAAGAAAAATGTGACCACAAGGTCAAATGCTATTTCTAGGGGGTTTAGGGTTAACGTTAGAATTAGCGTTAGGGTTAGGAGCTAGGTTTAGGGTTAAGGTTAGGTTTTTGGGTTAAGGTTAGAGTAAGGGTACGGGTTAGGGTTAGGGGTTAGGAAAAATAGGATTTTGAATGGGACTGAATTGTATGTCCCCACAAGGTTAGCTGCGTGTCTGTCTGTGTCGGTCTGTGTCTGTGGGTTTCACATTTCTCAGTAATTATTTCTGCTTCCACTCCCTTCAGTGTCCAAAGGCTCAGTGAGGTTTACCACAATCTCAACATTTACAATGACAATGAGTGAAGATTACTTCCTGTTCAATGCCATCGACGAAGAGGATAAAACCGTCCCAATTATAATGACAGACAACACCAGAAATAAAATACCAGTAGGTCATTTTAGTAATTTAAGAATTGATTCATCTTTTAAGAATTGATTAGTCTTTTAAGAATTCACTATGAGCTAAATATGTTCTCTCTCGGTAGAGGTGCAAAAATTGCGACGTGTGAGTATCCCCTCTTTTTGTGTCTTTAGGAGGACTCAGACCTGACCTTTGACAAAAGGCCTAAGCTAGGAGATGACAACAACGGATCAGCCATTGGCAACGTGGCAAAGAGCGGGAGTATTCTAGCAAACGAAGCTCTTGCAGGTAAAGTCCGACTTATTTAGTATATTATTTCCTCCATATTTGCTAACAGATGCGCTGAGGTACTTGTGATCCAACCTTCTTCTTTGCAGCTATTATTGCAGGAGGGGTGGTGGGACTGGCCTTGGCTGCCTCCCTGTTAACACTCATGGTCTATAGCATGAAGAAGAAAGACGAGGGGGGCTACACTGTCAACCAGAAAAACACGTCGAATGGAGGATATCAGAAACCTAAGACCAAGGAGGAGTTTATCGCGTAACTTCCCCTCAAATACAAAATAATGTCTCAACCCAGCAGATATTTTTGAAGAGTTCATTTTTGAGAGAAAGAAGTTGGTAGGGTTTGGCCATGATAAAATTCACATCAGGAAATGTAAACTTCTTGTGTATTCGAGGTTTAAAAAGGCGGTAACGCTTTACTTGACACCCAGCATCATAACACGTTATAACACGTTTTAGGGTGGCAGGTAGCTTAGTGGGTAAGAGCGTTGTGCCAGGTAACCAAAAGGTCGCTGGTTCTAATCCCCGAGCCGACTAGGTGAAAAATCTGTCGATGTGCCTGCCCTTAAGCAAGGCACTTAACCCTAATTGCTCATGTAAGTCGCTCTGGATAAGATCGTCTGCTAAATGACTAAAATGTAAAATGTAAAATAACCATGTCATAATATGTCATAACAGCTGACATAACTTGTCATAAACTGTCATAATATGGTCATAACACTGTCATAACACATATATTTAGACCTGTTGTGACATATATTACATTATTATATGGCTGGTTATGACACCTAAATAAGAGTGTCAAAACCCACAAAACCTACCACGGTAGTTCTTTTATGGCTGGTTATGACACCTACATAAGAGTGTCAAAACCTACCACACTGTCACGATCGTTATGAGAAGCGGACCAAGGCGCAGCGTGATAGGCGTACATACTTTTATTAAGTGTACACAACACGAACAAAAACAACAAAACGATACGTGAAGTCCTAGGTAATACAACAAACCATACGGAACAAGATCCCACAATAAACTGGTGCCAACAGGCTGCCTAAGTATGGTCCCCAATCAGAGACAACGAGCTACAGCTGTCTCTGATTGGGAACCACCCTGGCCAACATAGAAATAAACGATCTAGGACAAAACCCATAGAAAACTAAACATAAGTCCACACCCTGGCTCAACATTTAAGAGTCCCCAGAGCCAGGGCGTGACACACACAAGGCAAAACATTCCATTACACCATAGCCTACTTGTAAACAGTATGTTTATGTTATATAAAATGTTCTGAAATTGACTGTATTAAATTATCATTGTAATTGCGCACAAATTGATGTCATACATGCGCATACTCCAATGCTCTATTAGTGATGACTGGGATGAATGCAGGAGCAGATTTCAGGAGCAGGACAAGACACCTTCTTTTTGACTGATGACTGACATAAGGGCATGTACATGATAGGCCTATCTGGGTTATATGATTATGATGGTCATAATGCTTCATGACAGTGTCATAAAGTGTATTTTCTGCAAGTTATTTAAAATATGATTTTTTAAAAATCATTACAACAACAACAAACGACTTAAGAAACAAACTTTCAAAAGAAAGGACATTTCTTTGCAGGGAAAAAAACACATTTCAATAAATGTGGGTTTTGACACTCTTATGTAGGTGTCATAACCAGCCATAAAATAACGAAATATACTGAACAGAAATATAAACGCAATATGTAAAGTGTTGGTCCCATGTTTCATGAGCTGAAATAAAAGATCCTAGAAATGTTCAATATGCACAAAAAGCTTATTTCTCGCAAATGTTGTACACAAATTTGTTTACATCCCTGTTAGTGAGAATGTATCCTTTGCCAAGATAATCCATTCACCTGACAGGTGTGGCATATCAAGAAGCTGATAAAAGAGCATGATCATTACACAGGTGCACCTTGTGCTGGGGACAATAAAAGGCCACTCTAAAATATGCAGTTTTGTCACACAACACAATGCCACAAATGTCTCAAGTTTTGAGGGAGTGTGCAATTGGCATGCTGACTGCATGAATGTCCACCAGAGCTGTTGCCAGAGAATTTAATGTTAATTTTTCTACCATAAACCGCCTACAATGTCGCTTTAGAGAATTTGGCAGTATGTCCAACTGGCCTCACAACCACAGACCACGTGTATGGCGTCGTGCGGGCGAGTGGTTTGCTGATGTCAACATTGTGAAGAGAGTGTCCCATGTTGGCAGTGTGGCTATGGTATGGGCAGGCATAAGCTACAGAAAACAAACACAATTGCATTTTATCAATGGCAATTTGAATGCACAGAGATACCGTGATGAGATCCTGAGGTCCATTGTCGTGCCATTTATCCGCTACCATCACCTCATGTTTCAGCATGATAATGCACAGCCCCATGTCGCAAGGACCTGTACACAATTCCTTAAACTGAAAATGTCCCAGTTCTTCCATGGCCTGCATACTCACCAGACATGTCACCCATTCAGCATGTTTGGGATGCTCTGGATCGACGTGTACAACAGCATGTTCCAGTTCCCGCCAATATCCAGCAACTTCGCACAGCCATTGAAGAGGAGTGGGACAACATTACACAGGCCACAATCAACAGCCTGATCAACTCTATGCGAAGGAGATGTGTTACGCTGCACACCAGATAATGACAGGTTTTCTGATCCACGCCCCTACCTTTCTTTTAAGGTATCTGTGACCAACAGATGCATATCTGTATTCTCAGTCATGTGAAATCCATAGATTAGGACTTAATTAATGTATTTCAATTGACTGATGTCCTTATATGAACTGTAACCAGTAAAAACTTTGAAATTGTTGCATGTTGCATTCATATTTTTGTCACAACCTGTGTAAATATATGAGTCATGACAGTGCTATGACCATATTATGACAGGTTATGTCAGCTGTTATGACATACTATGACATGGTTATGACCGTGTCATAGTGTTTTATGAGGCTGGGTGTCAAGTAAAGTGTTACCAGAAAGGCTTCTAAAGTTTGTAATTTCCATTTTAATATGTCAGACCTTATTTGCCCTTACAAAAAATGTATTAACCTCAACAAAAATGTATATTAATCCACACAATAATTCACATTTCCTTTTGCTGACAGATTATTTTCCTGCTGTGAGAAACTGGTCAACTTAAGATCCTACACCTGTATATGTAATTACAAGGTTTATCTTAGAGTAAGAAACATCTTCAGAGGTTTATTTTTATTACTCTTCCACATTTGTATTATGTTATGATCTGTAACGTGTACACTGTGTGTCACGCCCTGACTCTGGGGACTTGTATATGTTGAGTCAGGGTGTGTATGTTCTATGTGGTGTATTTCTATGTTGGGTTTCTATTATGTGTAGATCTATGTTGGCCGGTGTGGTTCCCAATCAGAGGCAGCTGTAGCTCGTTGTCTCTGATTGGGGACCATACTTAGGCAGCCTATTGGCACTAGTGGGTTGTTGGATCTTGTTCCAGTTAAGGTATGTTGTGTTGCGCTGCCTTGGACTTCACGGTTCGTTTGTTATTTTGTCGTTGTGTTTAATATTTAATAAACATGTACGCATATCACACTGCGCCTTGGTCCGTCCCGTCTATAAACGAACGTGACAGAAGATCCCACCAAACGAGGACCAAGCAGCGTGCCCAGGAGGAGCGAATAGCCATGTCCCAGGTGGGCAAATTGTGGTCATGGGAAGAGATATTCACGGGGAAAGGGCCATGGGCGACGGTAGATACCCAGACAGAAGAGGAGCAACGGCAACGCAGAGGACGCCGGTCGAGGAGGAAGCCCGAGAGACAGCCCCAATACATTTTTTGGGGGGGCTAAAGGGGTGGTCGGGGAGCGAGAGAGAAGAGCCCCGACCACTGCACCCGGTCGGTTTTCAGATTGGGTCCCTACGACCATGGGAAGAGGAGTGGGAACAGTATTATACTGAGGAGTCGGAGGATGACGACGAGGTTCTGTTCCCTAACTCGTGGGGGCTCCCGGAGGAGTCCTCACGGGAGGAGGAGTGCCGACGACGGAGACCCGAGAGGCAACCCCAATAACATTTTTTTGGGGGGGGGCACACGGTGTGGACGATGAGGCAGCAGGAGGCCGTTAAAGGGCGGGTCTGCAGGTTAGGAGAGGAGGCCACCATGTTACGGGGGCTATTGGTTCAGAGGGAGCAGGAGTTATTCGGTCAGAGGGAGGCGCTACAGTAGGCTATAAGGGAGAAGGAGATTGTAGAGGCACGGCGAGAGGAGCTGGTTAGGCAGCAGAAGGAGCGGGGGTTAACAAAGGAACCCAGTCCCACTCCTCGCACCAAGCAAGTGGTGCGCGTCGCCAGCCCGGCCTGTTCCTGCCCCTCGCACCAAGCCAGTGGTGCGCGTCGCCAGCCCGGCCCGGCCTGTTCCAGCCCCTCGCACCAAGCCAGTGGTGCGCGTCGCCAGCCCGGTCCGGCCTGTTCCTGCCCCTCGCACCAAGCCAGTGGTGCGTGTGTCCAGTCCGGCACGGCCCGTGCCTGTTCCACCGGTGCCTGGTCCGGCACCGGTCAGCTGCTCCACTCCGGATCCAGAGCAGTCCGCTCCACCGGTGCCCAGTTCAGCTCCGGTTAGCTGCTCTACTCCGGAGCCAGAGCAATCCGCTCCACCGGGGTCCAGTCCAGCTCTGGTCAGCGGATCCACTCCGGAGCCAGAGCAATCCGCTCCACCGGTGCCCAGTTCAGCTCCGGTCAGCTGCTCCACTCCGGAGCCAGAGCAGTCCGCTCCACCGGTGCCTGATCCAGCTCCGGTCAGCGGCTCCACTCCGGAGCCAGAGCAGTTCGCTCCACCGTCGTCGGGTCCAGCTCCAGTCAGCGGCTCCAGTCCAGACCCAGACGTCAGCCCCTCTCCAGGTTCGGGGTCTCCCACACCAGGGTCCAGACAGGGCTTGGTACTTCGTGGGAGGAAGGAGAGGGGAAGCAGCGTGCCGAGGTCCAGACCAGACCAGGGGCGCAACAGGGAGGTGGAGAGTAAGTGGTCGTCACGCCCTGAGCCGGATCCGCCTCCGAGGCGGAATGCCCACCCGGCCCCTACCCTGTTATGTTTATGTTGTGCGGTCGGAGTCCGCACCTTTTGGGGGGGGTACTGTCACGCCCTGACTCAGGGGACTTGTATATGTTGAGTCAGGGTGTGTATGTTCTATGTGGTGTATTTCTATGTTGGGTTTCTATTCTGTGTAGATCTATGTTGGCCGGTGTGGTTCCCAATCAGAGGCAGCTGTAGCTCGTTGTCTCTGATTGGGGACCATACTTAGGCAGCCTTTTGGCACTAGTGGGTTGTGGGATCTTGTTCCAGTTAAGGTATGTTGTGTTGTGTTGCCTTGGACTTCACGTTTTGTTTGTTATTTTGTCGTTGTGTTTAATATTTAATAAACATGTACGCATATCACACTGCGCCTTGGTCCGTCCCGTCTATAAACGAACGTGACACTGTGTGTATATTTTACACCTTGATGTAATGGACACTGTACATACAACTGTGTTGAATGTAATTAACATAGTGTGGCCTTGAGACTAAAGTGTACCTTGTAGTTATGTCCTATGTCTCATCACTTATTGCTTTAATTGGAGCGGAAATTGACCTCCCTAACACAATAAACTCCTTGTGTTGCAACAGTGAGTAGCACCTTATCATGAAG